CTTCTTAGCAAAGAGAGCCAGTGCTCCCCAAAGCGATGTACTATGGCGAATAAAACCCTTACCTAACAATTTTTAGAGTTGAACCTTCAACTCACTTAACTCAGCGAGTGCAAATCTATACGGTGTCAGGCACTAAATAAATAAAAAACTCTATCTCACAGTGAGATGGCAAACTAGTGAGATTCTAAGAAAAGACGTCCGGGTATTCACAAACTACCCTCAGGACTCAACTCGGACCACATCACTCTCAACACTCAAGAATATAGCAAGGAGACTAAGCTCACCCCGACCATGCAAATCACGCACTAGCAACAAAGCTCTATCAACTCGGTCCCTGAAGAAATAAAAACAGTCACTACTCGAGGTCCATACAGTAACCCTCTAACGATAACAGCCTGGTATGACGACAACCAATCCATACCTAGTACAACATCAAAACTCAACATATCAATCAACACAAATGCAAAAGGAAGTTGGCGACCAGAAACCTCTATCTCACAACCTCGACACCCCTAGTCCAACACAAACTCACCACCAACAAGTGACTTTACCTTGAGTGGAGATGCTAACTAGGCCACTTCTAACCCTAATGCCGATGCAAATGCAGACGAGATAAAGAAATGGGATGCACCCGTATTAATCAACACATTGACAATGGAATTACATAACAAGAAGTTACCTCTCACTACCAAAGATGTTGGCACTAAATCTGTCATGGTAACAACGTATACACACCATGTAGGTCTCTACTCCACATACTCACCCCTTGGGGCATAAGTCTAACGCACGGATTGAGCCAAAAAGGCTTCCTGATTGGCCCTCGAGGCCTGAGCTGACTGTGTAGGCTGATGGCTCTTTGTCTGCCTCTGGCCAGACTGACCAGATGTGTCACCAGACTGAGGACAAAACCTCCTCACATGCCCTGATTGCCCACATTGATAACAAGTAGGCAGCTGTCCTCTCTCTTGACTTTGGCTCTGAGAACGGGCCGCAAATGGTGCAGACTGTTGCCCTCCTCCTTTCTGCGAGCAAACTACTGACTTGTGACCCAGCTGGCCACACTTGAAGCAAGTGATCCCTCCCTGGCCACCTTTCCCTGACCTAGAACTCGGTACAAGAAAAGTGGACCTAGATCCCTGGGACTACTGTGGGTTAGAACTCCTCTGCCTCTTATTGTCTCGAGTCTCTTCCTGAACCTCCTGACTTCTCTGCCTTGAGCCTCTCATCCTCTCCTCCTTAGCCTAAATCATGGTCTCTAAGTGAACTGCTGCCTCAACAAGACGATCATAATCCCTAATCATGGATGTGGCCACCTTGAAAAGGAGTACGATCCTCAACCTCTTCTCAAACTCTAAGCAATGACGTTCCTCCGTCGTTACCAACTCCGGTGCAAACCTCAATAAGCTAGTAAAGGTAGCATCAAACTCGGCCACCGGTGTGTTAAGTTGTTTGAGCTTCAAGAATTGCTCTCTCAACTTCTCCCTACCAATGGAAGGCAAGAACTTGTCCTGAAAGGGTTTAACAAAAGCCTCCTAAGTCCCTCCGATGCACCCCCGCACAAACTTCCACTATTGACCCGCATCTCCCTTCAACTAGAAGGATGCCAAGGACACTCTCAACCTATCATCCTCGATGCCAAGCATCTCGAATGTCATCACCATTTGCTCCAACCACTCATCCATTTTCAGCAACTCCTTCGGATCCCTTAAAAACTCATCCAGATTCAACCGGAAAAACTTCATCTTCAGAAAAAATAGCCGTCTCCGCTCTTGGGCCTGGACTTAATTATTTTCCCTAAGAATGTCCATAGATTCCCGTAAAACTCCGGCCATTTCTCAGGCCAAAGCGCCCTTGGCCTGTTGACCAACCGGTTCGGTTACATTGGCCTCACCAACCCTTTTCTCCTACGCCGAAATATCATCCGGTAATGGCACCTCCTGCCGTCAAGGCCTGTTACGCCTACTACCCCATGTCCATGTCCTGGCATCCTAATAAAGGTAACACAAGAGATTAGCACATTCACAAATATGTCGAAACTAACTCACTCGCATCCTAAAGCGATAAACAACAATTAATTCACTCCACATAAGCATATATTCACATAAACACATACGAACTTTCTTTCTAGATAATAATCGTCCCACAACGTTGCCAGAGTTCCAGATACAAATAGCAGTGATCAAGTGTACTACCAAAAATCGAACCTTTTGCAAAGGGTCCATATATCGTCGCAAAAGACTTTTTGCAACGTAGTGACAGAAAATGGAAGGTGGCAGAAGGGGGTGTGACAAAAGGTATTTGCGGCTTTTTTGTAGCAACAACAAATCAATGATTTTTGTGACAGTGTAATCTGACACGAACAAGAGAGAAAAAAACTTCACTTTTAGTAATGGTTTAGGTTTCCATCACGAAAAACTTTTTAGAGACGGTGTATGACGTCGCGAAAAGTATTATGAGAGACGGTCTAAAATGCCACCAAAAAAAAAAAAGAATTAAATTAAAACTATATTCGCGACAGTTTAAACCATCGCAAAGGATTTGAACTAATATGTATATGCGACAGGTTAACCCATCGCTAATAAAATGCAAGAAAATGATGATTACATTAGCAATGGATTATTATTGTCGCAATAAATTTATTTTCATAAAATAAATATATATTCTATTAATTTATTCCTTGTACAAATTATTAATATTTTATAAAACAAAATACATCCACACACATTCACATTTACATTCACAACATCATACGAGTAATAATATATATATATATACCCTGTAACACAGTGTTAACCAAAAAAATTAAAAATATATAAAACATCCTCCAACAATATTAATAATGTTTGATAAAAGAAACAAAAAAAAAATCATTTACAATATAATTGATTTCAAGCTTACAAAAAATATAAAACATTTGATATTTATTTTAATAAATAAATAAATAAGATTGTAAGCTCTAATATCGATATGCGAAGATATCATTACGTACTCAAAAGGGTTGCATCTGTAAAAAGAAACACAATATAAATATATATATATATTTACAATATAATTAATTTCAAGTCTACACAAAATGTAAAACATTTGATATTTATTTCAATAAATAAATAAATAAATAAGATTGTAATATATACATAAATCGAGCGCCACACAATGTACCTTCCAATAGTTTCTCCAATTGTTTTTAGACCTCGGGGTGGTGTTTCTAAACGATCGTTCGACTTTTTCGCTTTTAAGACAAAGACCTTGCAATATTCATGATCAATTGGAACTCCATCAATTTCACACAACGGATCGTCACTAATAAGAAGTCTCAACCAAACATTCTTTACAAAAATATATAAAATATCCTCCAACAATACTAATTTTTAATAATTCAAAAAGTCAAATTTTTATCTAAAACAAAACAAAAATATCGACAGTACAAATAAAATATATATATATATATATATGTAGCTTGTTTTAGTATCAACAATAAACTCTAATATCAATATGCGAAAATATCATCACGTACTCAAAAGGGTAGCATCTGAAAAAAGAAACAAAACAAAAAATTATTTACAACATAATTAATTTCAAGCTTACAAAAAATATAATACATTTGATATTTATTTCAATAAATAAATAAATAAGATTGTAACATAGACATGAATCGAGCGTCACAAGCGTCACAAGGAGGTTAAGATATCCATACTCAATGCAAAGAATATCTACAATCTAATACAGGCTATACAGCTTAGGCAATAAAGGTTAAAATGAAACTGTCATTTACAAATTTTTAAGTTCAATCAACAATAGAAAACAATAGCCAATTGTTACTTGTAGAACATAATGGAAATAAAAAATAAAAACCTAAAGACTTTCAAATTAACTACACTAACTCAAGTTTAATCCAAGGAATCACAGTATGAGAATCCAAGTAGAAACTGAGAACAAAGTGTATTTTGGACAAAAGAGAATAGACTTGAAAGGATTTCAGCATCACAGAATTAAAATCATGGTTCAATCAACAAATTTTCATGGTAAAAGAAACTAGAACTTGAATAATGCCTTTTACTCTCCAAACTCCATGCTTGATTGAGAACAACAATTTGAGGATCATTGGGGTGTAATGCTTTAAGCTCGTGCCTAGTGGCCTCAATGGTGGCATTGTGTTTTGTTGATAATTGTATGGCAGCAATAACTCCTGTGTTCCCAACTTTCTTCCCCAATACGACATGGGGAATCTTCAAGATTTGCCACAAAAAGAGTGTTGATATATTACTCCAACAATACCGCACAACCCAACTGATGCTAAGTTGGGTCGAGTGTTCCATAACTTCGAAACATGAGTTGTAAACCCTTAAACATGGATTGATGAAGCCACCTTAAACATGGATTGATCATTTGAAAGGGTATTCAAGTCTTTGTATTAAATTCCCTAGACTTTATCAGTTATGCACAACAAAGGAGATTTCTCTAAATGAGCAGATTTCAAGAAAGACAGTTCAGACAGGTGGTGCTTTAGTTTCAATCCAAGCATTGAAACTTTGGGACAAAGACATGTTTGATAATCTAGTTCAAAACCTCAAAATATAAAATTTTCAGATGGCATATATCAAACAGAAAGCTTAATAAAATATGATCTTAAGCAAAGAAACTTTATCTTTTACACTGACGATAAAAATCAAAACTAACCTTGAGAACTTCAGACAAAAGAAGCAAGCATTCCCTTAGACAATTCTCAAAGAAAAAATTATGGTATTCAATAACCTGTTTCACAGGAGTCAAAAGTATTAGGCAAAACACAAAAAGAGAATTTGATGGTTTGAAGCTTTGTCCGTCTATTAATTGAGACAAATACAGAAACAAAGTTCTATTTCTTTTTTGGTTTTATGAAATTGAACAACTATAGGATACATCAAAACCAGTAAGGGAGTGCATATAGACATCATCTATGCTCTTTGCAGTTTGTAGTCTGTTATGCATCACATGCCAGTTGGGTTCAAGAACCTGAAAACACAATATCCCTAAGGACCTCAAAATTCCTTGAAGAAATATTTTAGATTAGTTATGCAAAGTTCCCACTCTCTGACAAACAAATACAAATTAGAAGTGGATAAGAGACATTAAATCTATTTGCTTCAGGTGCAGTAATTCATAATTGCTATCATTCCTGCAAGAAAAAATATATTTAAAAAATAAAAATGAGGAGAAGAAGAAGGGTAAAACATGCCTCAAATGTTAGATAGTGTAGAAGGCTATTAATAAATTTAAGCATACTACGACATAGCACAGATGACCAAGAGATTGCAGTTCCTTTTGTGTCAACAGCGCACACACCCTACAATCAGGTGGCAGTAAAATTAGACAAACAAAAGGAGCCAACATTCACAAATTATGGAACAGATTTCTGCTCCATACTTGATGTATTTGCCATGCCCCACAAAGCTGGCGATCCACGTGTTTACAATGAAACAGGAAGCCGAATATCAACTGATATTTTGTTAAGGCCTTTCTTGATATAACAAGGGACAATGGTCATTGAACTTGAAACATGAAATAAACATCAATGAACTTATTGATGACAACCACCTACTATAGACCAGAACACATCCTGCTAAGTGCAGGTGCCATGCTGATGCTGACACAATTTCTCACTCGAACATGTTCTCACCAAGATCGGCAACAATCTCAGCTACTACTAGATACTCAATTCAACATGCCTTTATTTCAATTACTTGGGGTAGCAAGGTACTTGGATCCATTTCCTCGAATTGATTATATTCAAAGTCATACTCTTAGTTTAATTTAAGGTAATCTTGTCATTTCTTATCACCTAAGCACATGTTCTCCTTGGCCTTCCTCTATTTCTTTTATCACCTCCACATTGATCAAAACACTACTCCGTACAGGCACATTAATTGGTCTATGATGCACATGACCATACCACCTCAAATGGTTTTCCCTCGTTGCACCTTCAATTATTCACTTCAAACTTCCTTCCCTAAGGATTCATTTCTTCTTTTGTCTTTCCTTGTAAGTTGTAACACCATTCATTCATCTCAACATAGAAACAGGAAACAAGCTTCGATTCAAATGGTATCAACAAGGGGAATAACTATGGCAAAGATAACCCACACAAAGCGACAACCAACCGCCACACTACCGCATACCTACACCTAGCACCCCCAAAATTAAATGGGTTCTGGTAACCTATTATTCATAAGTAGACTAAACCCACTTCCCATCTAAACCTAGAGAGAGCGAGAAGAATAAGCTCATTCTTTTCCAAATGTAACTCAATAATTCATCACATATGGGACTTCTACTTATTAGTTCACTGACATACAAACCTGATCAAGAAGAAGATAGTGTTTTATAGACCGCAATTTTCCCATTAGGTCATACTACACAAACAAACAAACAAACAAAGAAAAACACACACTATTAATGACATTGATATGAATAGAAACAAAAATAATTATGAGGAAAATGTGCAAGTATGTTTAGTTGAATAAACTGAACCACACCTTTTCTTTTATAAGATTTAGGAGCTCACCACTGGCAAACTCATAAGCAGCTTTTATACACTCAAGATAATGATGATTTGCGCCAGAGCTCATCAGCTTTGAATTTTCTGACACAGAGACCTGCCAAAATAATTAGCTAGGCAAGCGGTTGAATTAACATCAGCAGATAAAGATCAACAAACAATTATGGAAAAAGAAAAAAAAAAAATGAGTGAACTATAAAGCAACAACATAATCATAACAAAACTTGCACATTGTGCCCACATTCTCTCATCACATTCACAAATATTTTCCTATTGTCAAGATTGTTCCAGCAGCATTTTCTAGGAAGCTAGGAATATCCTCCAGACTGTAACGTTCTCGCCAACACTTTGCATCATAATCTTGAGTGAGACTCTCCTATTGAAAATAAAAAGAGGTAAGCATCTAAACCACAATTCCAATGCACTTGCATAAACCAATAAAGTAATACCTTTGGGAGAGATTTGTTCTCAGCAATAAAAAGTTCACCATAAGGATCATTAATCACCCCTTCATACACCCACCTAAATATATGAAATAAATTCTAGATTGAGTCATAAAATCAATGAGAGTGAGTTTATAGAGGATGAGAATATAACATCAACTACAGCAAACAAGATGCTAAGGCAATGCTAACAACTGAGAAAGATACTTATCAACAAATACCTAAATACTAATAATCTGCAGCATATGCCAACTTACTATAATGTAAACATTGAAATTAAAATATTTACTATTTCCTTTTTAGCAAAAACTTAAAGACTTCCTTATTCAATGATAATTATTTGCTAATTTACATTTTAAAATACCATTCCTCAAATTAATGGATAGACAATAGTTACTTAGAATAACATAAAACAGTATTTTTTGCAAAGTTATATTATAAGGTGATGGTCAATGTGAAGAGTATTCAGGAACAATAATCTACATGCTTGGGAAGAAGATGAGTTATTAAAACTCACTGATTTTTTGGGAACAGGGCCTAGGATAGGCATGGAGCATGAGGAATTTGTGAAATGGAAGGCTGATCAAGCAGGTGGGTTCAAGGTTAGCAGTGCCTATAAATGGTGTGATATGGATTTTGGTTCTGTTTACAGCTCTGCTGGACTGATATGGAACAACTTATCTACACCTAAAGCCAAATTCATTACTTGGTTGGACCGGAAGGGTAGACTTAAAACAAAGGCTTTCCTGCACAAAATTGGAGTATTGAGGGGGGAATGTGGATTTATCTTGTGTGTTCTGTAAATCTGAATTGGAATCTTCCAATCATATTTTATTGCTCTGCCCTTTTGTGTGGAATGTGTGGGCAGTGTTGTGAAAGGCGCACCTAGGCACAAGGCACATCCAGGCGCAGCTTCGGCGACTGAAGAGGCCCAAGGTGAGGCGAGGTAGATAAGTCGCGTGCCTTGGCCGAGCCTTGGGCCAGGCGCGAACAAGCGCAAGGCGACGCTTAAGCATGCCTTTTTGTTTTTTTTTTTGCCCCTGATGCCTATCGATGGCTCTGATCTGAGTTTGAATGGGTCCAACACATACGATTGCAACTCATACAGCACATACGAGAGTCGAAGCCCTAAAATCTTTCAGTGTCGTCTCTTCTCTTCGCGCAGTCTGCAACTCAATACAATTGCGACTTTCGTCTGTGATTGAAGACTTTGACTTCGACTTCGACTTCGGCTTTAGCTTCGGCTACAGGTTAGTCTTCTTCTTCTTCTTCTTCTGCCTGCTGCCGTCTCGTCTCTGTCTTCTTCTCTCTTTTTTTTCTTTTTTTTTTCTTTTTTTTTTTTTCTGCTTCTTCATCGTTGTATTTCCCTTCATCTCCTTCGTCTCTCGTCTTCTCAACTTCGACGACTTGACCTCCCTTCGACTTCTATTGCTCTATCTCTCTCGCCTTCGCCTCTCGCGATCTCTCTCTCTTCTCTCCTCTCTCTCGGCTTCTCTTTGTATAATATATATCTTATATAATATATATTTTTATATAATATGGATTATCAAATAATATACTGAAATATTATATTATACTCAAATATTATCAAATAATATACATTTATACATATTAATAAAAAAACACAAATATATGTATGTAAAATCAAAATAAATTATATTATACTGAAATTATAAATTTTTTTACGCTGTTGGTAAAATATAAATTATTTGTAATTATATTAGACTGAAATTACAAATTATATTACACTAGTGGTCAGTTTTTTTCCTTTCTCTGCTAGGAAAGAAAATTACAAATAATTAATTAATCACATAGTACATTACACTGAAATTACAAATTATTTTCAATTTATTTTCCACACCCTTTGTCTTGATTACTTTTATTTTAAAAAAAATTGTCTTAATACTGTGAATGATTAGTCTATGTTAATTTATTTATTTTTTACTAAGATTATGCGCCTTACTTCAATAAAGCCTGCGCCTCGCCTTGCGCCTTGCGCCTACGCCCCGAGAGACCTTCAACGCCTTAGTGCGCCTTGAGCCTTTAAAAACACTGTTTGTGGGTATGCATGATTGAGTGGTGGGGCTGGAATGGGTAACACCAGGTTCAATTGAGTGCCTATTGCAATGGTAGTTGAGTTAACGAGTGTATTTTTTCTGATAAGCATCCATATTTGGTGAAGTTATGTGAGACAATTAAGGTAAGATTAGCACTTTGGTGGAAATCACATAATATTGGGTGCTCATACTCTAGTAATGATATTGTGAGGAATATACAATTGGTGAAAAAGAAGCATCTGAAATCATATGGGGTGAGCTGATATTTGGTGGGTTGGTTTAAGTTTTTATTCTTTTTTAGAAGCACTATGTAAGCTTTATTTCGTGGTCTTTGTAGTTGTTGGTTTCTCACCAATGGGTGATGGCGTGCTAGCATATGATTAGGTGGGCTTCTTGGTGAGTAGTTCCACTATGATGCTCTTTGCACTCATCTATTTCAATGAAGTAAGAATTTCATATTTCCATCAATAAAGAGTTCTTTTTGCTGATAAAAATAAATAAATAAAAAAGAAAAAGAAGAAGAAGAAGAAGAATTTGTCTCTACAAATTTATTAGAAAAACAATGTGGTTCGGATTCAACACTTCTATAGTGGATTATCTACCTAGAGTGATTATAGAAAAAAATATTCATTCTTCTATGAAAATTTCTAGGTACCAAGTATTCCCCAAATTGAAATATCAATAGCAAAGATAACACAATTATAACAAAATTAATATAATATTAAATAACTGAGCAACCAAAATATAATTCTATACAAAATTGGCACCAAGGAAGATATTTACTAAAAGAAAAAGAATAAATGATTTTATCACAAAACAATTCATATATATATATATATACAAGGGAATAAGCAAGCAAAAGTGCTGGAACATTTTTGCTTTTGTTATCATACTACACAGATAAACACAGATGCAAACATCAGTAAATGTAAATACTCAAATCAATCAACCACTAGCCAAAGTCAAAAACAAGAATTAAATAACCTTACAAAAACATAGAATGCCAAATCTGTAACAATAAATAGACTAGATCGATAATACTTACTTAAACAATGCCCAAATAATACACATTAATGTGTGTTTGGGAGGGGAAAGATTGGGTGCACACCTAACCTTTGGCATAGTGCACAAAGTGGCTGCCCTGAGACTTGAACCCATAACCTCAAGGTTATTAGGCCAAGATTTTACCATTGAACCAAATCAGATCACTTACTTGCTGGTTTGAATATCAAACCAAAGAGCAACAGACAAGGCGAGAAAATAAGAGAAATAATAATTTATTTCTAAACACTCTGCATACCCACAAGTTTAAAAAGAGCAACAGACTAGATCAATAATAACAAACAAAATTTAAAAAGAAATAATAATTTATTTTTAAAAATATATAACATAAAATATAAATAAATCAACACTCTGCATACCCACAAGTTTCTCAATCTTTTTCTTTCTTTGCCTTTAAAAAGAAATATTTAACACAAAAGTTCCCAAGTCCTCTTTTTTTTTTTAAATATGTAAAAAATTTAGAACATATATATTCTACACATAAAATAGTTTTTGCACAACAGATTATCCAGATATAGAAACAGAAAGAACATTCCTCAATAAAGAAGCAATTTAAAGAAATTAAAAATAAAAACATACAATTTTGTTTTCTAAAATAATACTCAAAAACAGAAAACATTCTATACATACATAAAACACAAAACAAAATACAAAAGAACACAACTTACACTTCTAAGAATATCGAGATTAACCTACCCACACAAATACATTCAAAAACACAAAATTAAAGAAAACATTTTCAGTCATTATTGATTTGGAGTATTGGTTTTCTTAAGGGTGTTTGGGTTTTTTTCAAGTGTCCTACTATTAGTCAGGTAGCCTATAAATAGGGTGATGTAATTTCATTTGTAGTGTAATTGAAGAATATTGACATTGATTAGAACAAAGTGTTCTAGTTCTCTTTCTTCTCTCTCTACCACCTTCTTGCTCTCTTGGATTCTTAATTTTCTTCTCTCTTGTTTCATGATATTCTTTCTTGGGTCTAGAGGAATAACATATAAATTTATTCAATATTAAAACCCAAACCAATATGTGACT